CAGGCCTCTCTCATCTTTTTAAGTGGGAGAACTTGCGCAATTGGTGGCTGACTAAATACTTTTTTGCCCCACTGTAGCTGTAGGGGAAATAAAATTGGGGCTAGTTATTTTTCCAGATAATTCAAAGATATTGTCCCAATGAATATAATGTGATAAATCCATGTACTGTATGATTGCAGCTCTAATTTTATTGGTTCTTTAATAATTGTGTCATACTGCATTTAATCTAACACAAAGTGGATTACATCTGATTGTATTTTATAGTAATTTCTGTGTTTTTGCTAGCAGTTGACACATGTCAATGAACAAGAAGCAAATGCCTGTACAAATCAATGCTATTTTTAATTTCCATATTTGAAGGATAAGTTATGCATATTAATGGTTCCTACACTTATTTTTGCCATCACTCAAAAGCCCCATTCAGTAGCCATGAGTAAATGACAGTTTTCTATAAAGGTTCTGGTCAACTATTTGCTGCCCCCCTTTCTGTGCATATAATAAAGGTTGTCCCTGAAAATCCATGTGACCTGCATGCATGTGCCCAGCTGCCTGTTTCTGAATGTACATGAAATTGGACAACAATGAGTAGCTTTTATAGAAAACACATTTTGCTGTGTATTAAAAATTATATTTAATTTGGTGGTATTGCTATTTTTAATCCAATATATGTTTTTAAATGCTAACTTTTTAGGTGAAAAAAAGGGAATAGACTCCTGAGGCTGAAATAGGATGATTTCAAGCTGTGTTTAACACATACTTTTCATTCACAAATTGTTCCGTGGTATTATAGTGAAAAACGGAGTCCTACTTTTTCTTCCCCCCTCTTAATGCTCCCAACTTACAGGATCTAAAAATATATGAATCAGCCATATACTCTACCTTTAAGACTTTTAAGATTTGCATCAATCATTCTCTTTAGCAATATAAGGAACATTAAGTGGCATCTCAAAACATAGTGAGATAAAAGCATATCATATTTTTCTTTTTCTCATAGGAAAATGGGGAGGGGGCAAGTTGGATGCATCTGTATTGTTTCTTTATTGCTGCTATATAATTGATATGTTTAGAATCCTGTCTCCATCATCCTAGCTTGCACAAATAAAATATTCATAGCCCATGCACAATTACTTTTCTTCAGTATGTATTAATCAATCCATCTACTTTGTTCTTAGAAGGGCAACTCAGGGGCCAAAGCATTGTTTGTATTGTCTCTGAGAGTGGAGAGTGACTATGATTTCAGAGACTAATTCAGTATTTGAAGCTGTCTTCCAGTCCTGGAGCCTCCAAGACTAGTACTTTCCAAGTTAGATAGAAGAATAGATGTGCTGAGGTTGGCTAAGAAGTTAACAGGGGCTGAGGCCTCCAGTTAAGCCATCTGGGACCATGCTATCTACCCATACATAGCCACTAATTTCAGTAGGAAGGAAGCAATGCCTTAAATGCATTTAAAGAGAAAATATTACTACTTCATTTTAAAAGTAGTCTGCCAGAGAGTGTCCTGCACAGAGCAATATACACCCTCCTCATTAGTGACCACAACCCATTCCAGCAAAATTTGTCATTAAGCAAAATGGTCGCTAAGCAAACATGTGGCACACAATGAGAGTGAGAGATGCTGTGAAGATCACTGGTTGCTGCTGTCTCATTCACATAAAGTTCTCTCTTATAGTATCCTGTGCCTCACTGTTTCCCCCCCTTTCTTTGCCCCCTCTCAGGGCAAAGAGATTGCTTAAACAAGCTGCCTCTTCCTGAGCTGCTTTTCTCTGCAGCAAAGTGCTTCCCTAAAAAGTGCTAACCCCAAGTTAATAAGCTCAGTTCTGTGACCTTGATTGATTAGAATCCTCCAGCCAGCTCACACTGCTGCCTGAAACTGACCAGAACTTAATCAGTTTCACACTGAAGACTTCTTGTCAGGCCAGGAAATTTGGTTGTAAATGCCTACATTGGTTGAAAAATGATTTTTTTATTATCATTGTATTTGCAAATGGTCACTAACCGAGGTAGTCGCTAACCAAGGCATGTCTGAATATGAATTCTTTTCCAGTGTTTCCGATTTCTGAGCTAAGAAAACATGTTGGGATCATCTGTATAACATTAAGAACAAATTAATTTTAATATGTTTACAAGAGCACAATTTTAGTTTTATTCTTATTTTTAATGTATTTTTCTAATTTTGATAAATCATTGGCTGATAGGAAATTAATAAGTGTGTTTCCTGGTTAATAGAAAAAAAAATCTTACAGCAAAAACATTAAAGATTGAACAAGAAGGTTTAAATGTTTTCTCCTTCCCCAGCCATGGAGTTCCATGAGAACTTACAAAATATAGGAGCAAAGGAAGGATTGAAAGAGAGAAAACTACAAAAAGCAGTGGAGAGTTTCACCTGGAATATTACAATTTTAAAGGTAACATTTGTTTACTCAAGTTTTTTCTATCACAAATTATTCCTTTTAATTTGTACTAAAAGAATAATCATTATGTCAAATATTCTACTGATAGATAATTGGATATTGTTTCAAGAAACAGAATAGGTATGGAAATTTACAAGAGTATTATAGCCTGGCTGTAAATATTAGTAGGTGCAGTCTGTATTGTAGCATCAATTGAATGCTTCTTGAATATATTTGAATATTTCTTGAAAATATTTTGAGAAAAGATAAGAATTTAGGCAGAGGAAATGGTGAATCAGATGAGCATAAAGCAAGGTGATGGGAAGTACAGCAGCCTGTTAAGGTCATACATTCCCACAGGGAAGGGTGAGCAGCAACTCTCCTCATAGTCATGCAGAGACTTCCTGAAAGGTGGCTTGACCACAAATATAGAGTGACTGCAACAGGGAGCTCTTCATTATGGAAGCTTCTGTTTAGAAGCTTGGAATGATGAATACTAACTTTTCTGAGAAGTGATAGTAGTATTAAAGAGACTGTAGAGCAATCTACATTTAAAAAGAAGCAGCAGCAGCTGTATTAACATTAATGGAGTTAGGAAGAAAGAAATCAAGTATTTTGCCACTCTTGTTCAAAATTCATCAATAGAATTTAATGATTTAACCGCAGAAGTTAAAATATTAACAGATTTTCTGGTTTAGTAACAGAATATGCTTGCTTCACACTTCTCTCTGTGCTTAACTACAGGACATTTTTGTTCTAAGTTCTGGCTGAATATAAAATCATACTATAAACTAAGCTTTTTTTAAAAAAATTGAAGCATACGATTAAAATGCAGAACTGTTCCCATTTGTCATCTGCAGTGTTTTCCATTCAGCAAAAGGAAGAAGTGTGACAAAATTAGTGCAGCTGCTTCTCTGTATTTCACCATCTAATTCAATCCCTATATTTTTTATGAAACAAATAAAGATTCCATTTGTCTGCTGAACAAGTCATCTATGCATTGAATTGTGGAATCTATTTTAATGTTACAACATTTCATGCTATTTATCTCTCCCCCCATATAAACTTCTGAAAGCCTTATTTCAGTTAAAAAAAAATACCTTACCTCTTTCCAAGGTCATTCTGCCCCTAAGAGACTGGTTGCAGAGCTTTTAGGAATGTGTTAGTACATGTGATTTCCTTCCTCCATATTGGTTACATTGTTTGTAATGATAAACTAGGATTAATTGATTTTTAAGAACAGTGGCCTATTTTGATTAAGCTCTTGATATCTGGAATCTATCCATACTCACTATTTGCTTCCAATAATATGAGTAGCTCAGCTAAGCAGAAATTGAGAACTTCCTGCATAGTCCTAAGGCTGCTGCATGTTTTATAATTATTGCTCTTTGCTTCTGAAATATGACTGGTTTGAAAGTGACATTGTAGCATTCAATTTATGCTTTGGAGGGTTGTATAAAATATTCTGAGCTTGTAATGTTCTAAGCTCAAACATTGATGTTATAGCATTTTCTCCTGAGCTTGGGACAATAACGGGACATTGTTTTGAGCATTTTAACATTCGACAATTAGCTTCCTCTGCTGTTACATCCTTCAGGCCATTGAGATTTGGAAAGTGCATTGGTCAATAACCAATTATGTTTCGCTTGTTTGTTGAGTTTTGTAGGCAGATTTCCAAATGCAGAGAAGCTAGTAACTAGAGAAGTATATTTTTATAGTTGCGCTGTTCATAAGCTTTGTTCAAAATAATACGTTGCTATTAATTACTACTTGCTCAGTTATGTGATTTTGCAGTAGTCTGCAGAACATATGCTTAACTGTTGCTTCTATTGCTTGCTGTTGGAATTAAGAACATGGAAATCACCCCATGGTCACTTTCTCTATAGATTGACTGTTGGGAGCACTCTGCAGGAATCCTACCTATTTTTGTAACCTTAGGATGAAAATGAGGGAGCAAGGGGCACTGTTCCCTATAGTGGAACACTAACTTTTTGAATTTTGTTCTATCAAAACCTATAGGAATGTTTCTTTAAAACATTCTGAGTAGGACTGTTCTGTTTCAAGCATGGAACAAAACAAAATTGAACAAAACTTTATTTTGTATCTCTACTGGTTAATTTAACCCAGTCTTCACCATGCTGGTATCTTCCAGTTTTGTTGGGTCAACACAACTGGAAGGCATTCATCTGACAATTTAAGTTGTGGAGCAAAACAGGCCCAAAGAGGCTGTGTGGACCAGCACAGAATTTGTTCTCCTCATGTCATAATTATCCATAATTGTCAAATGTATGTAATTGCTTAGAGATGTGTATAATTGGTAAAATTATGGCTGTTGCATACCTGTGGTAGACTTTTTTAGACAATTTTACATTTTTATGAATCACTTGTATTACTATTATTCATTAGGTTACAACATTAGGAACAGGTATGTAGATCATAAATTCTACTGCTATATACTTATTCACTTAGTAGTGTTCTTAAACTCCGAATAATGTATTTAATATTTGCAATCTATTCATGATTATCGTTATGCTTTAGAGTTTTGATTTAGTAGTTATACATTTTGTGAAAGCAGCTTCAAAATAATTTTTTGCAGAAAAAATTGACAAGCATAGACTTGTGTATGAAAAGTATTGTAAAATAGATTTAACATTATGAAAGCTGTTAATGTTGGTGTCTTCAGAAGAAAGAAGAAAATGCTTGGCTGATAATAGTGTGTGGTCTGTTCTAGAGTGTCTGTGAAAAGGTACATTTAGATTCATACTCTTAACTGATCTACAAGCCTTATTCATCCTGGCTGTATAGTACCTTTCATTGAGACAAAGCCATTTCTTAAATCAAGGACATTAAAATGTCTCCTTTACAGAGCTGCTTTACAAGAACTCTAATCTCAAGGAATTTGGTAAAGAAGAAGATTCATTATTGACAAACTGGGGCAGGGTAACACTTTTAAAATATTTCTGTCTGGTCCAGAAAGCAGTCTGTCCGTGGCCTGATTAGCATGACCAGGTTGCTACAACACAAGCAGAGGCCACTAACCATATCTACTCTTTCCAGCCCACCAAGAAGTCAACCTCAGGTCTTCTCCTATATGTCAAAAGTAGTGAGTTTTTTTACTCATGCTAGTTCAGTTTATGTGCTTCCTTTCCTCATAGGGAAGCCCCTTCGCTCCAAGTGGCTATTCTGTACTGAATCAGGAACACACACACAAACACACCCCTGCCCAGGTCTCTGCAGCCATTGTTGCTCTCTGCAGCCATTTTTCCTGGGCTGCTGCAACAATGAAATGCTGAATCTTTTTTTTTAAATATAGATCCATTAAGGATCTTCAAATCCAGTGTTATTGTCAATTGCAGCACTCTCCATCCTCTGTGTTAAATCCAGCATCTTTAAAGCTCACTGAGAGTTTGCTTCTTAGGTACATAAAAGAAGCTGAGAGGAACTTATAACATGCAGAATGACATATGTTTTTACAGTCCAGATTTTAGATGTGTCCTCATTTCAAGATATTTCTGAACCAGGGAAGTATTTGGTATATTATTGGCCAAGATGAATACTCTGCTGTGAATGTGAGCTAATAACTACGAATCACAAGATTGTGTCTCTTGTCCCATAGCACCCTAAAATGGGATGGTCAATTAATTGCTAGCTGCTTCTAAATTCCCCATTACTAACAAATAACTTGGTTTACTCGTAATAGAGGTGAGCAAGCCTCAGACAAAATATCAAAGTTTTTGTTCATTTCAATGGGTCTATAGTTAGATTGCAATCTGCTTTGCAGAATGAACTCAAAATGCAATTCACCAGGTTAATTTTAGCAAATGACAAACTCGATTTATGACAAGATTAACAAAGTAAAATAAATAAAATAAACTATGCATCATTGCTGAATTTTATGGAAACGATTCTAATAAAGTATATGATTCATCTATTCTTCTAGTATGTTTTATATTAACTTTCTTTGCTTTTATGGGGAAAAAAGCAGTTTTCTTTCAGCAGATTAAGGAATCTCATTAAAGCCAAAGTTCCATTGATAAATGTCTTACAGAGCAAACTAAAATTACCAAATGTTAAGTTTCCATGGTCCTGAATTCTCTGTTTTAATTTTCCAATTATGTGACCCAGGCAAAAGTAATTTTGCTTTCTTTAATTTCTATGAATATCATTTTATAAAAATATCACTGGCTTTCATTGTTCTTAAGAACTTCTGTGACTATGATCACATTATTTTAGCTGTGTTTGAGGCAGGTGTACATTTTCTACCTTCTCCTCCAACTCTGAAATTTTACATAACTTATCATTTGTAGCTGTGTTTAACCAGTCAGTCATCCCAGCCTTCCCATATATTTATTTTCTTAAAAGTGTGACACAAATACAGTTCTTGCTCAATTATGTATCAGATATGCAAGTTGAATTTTCCCAATATATGGGATTCTAGACTGAACAGTTGAGAATATTCAAAATCCTTCAGATGTGTGGTATGATTTGGTGAGTGCCTGTCCAGTGAGTGTCTTGTGTTTTTGAAAAGTGACTCTGGGCACGTTGGAATTCCCAGTTGTATGCACAGAGTTTGAGTTTCATCATTGAGAAAACAAGATGTACAATGTACGATCATTATAATTGCTGGATCACAAGCAATACTAAATTTCTCATGGTTTCCATGGGTTCTTGGATTCCACTCAAAATACAAAAACGTTTGCCTTTGCCAAGAGTTGTTTGGTGGGAAAGATTCTTGTCTTTTAAAAATATGTATTTGACCACTTGGATACAGAGCAGTCCAGCCCTATTATCTGCGTGTGCCTTAGCTGAAAGTGATCTGGTTTTCATCTTTGTGAACAGGGCTTATTGTACGATAAATCAAGGCTGAAAAGTGGACTCAATATTGATAGATGAAACTCCTTTTGTTCTTAACAGGGCCAGGCTGATCTTCTCAAGTATGCTAAAAATGAGGCATTGGAGAACCTAAAGCAAATCCACTATGCTGCTGTTTCATGTGGATTGAATAAACCAGGATCATCTGGAAATGTTGAGTCTTCGAAGCCCCGACGAAGCTTGGAAGCTATACCTGAAAAGGCAGCAGAATAAGATTGAGAATGAAAGAAAATTCTCATTACTTTGGAGTTTATAACTCTGTAACTGTTGTAGCTGCACAAGATATTTTGCTTTGCACTTACTAATTTTTTTTTGGGGGGGGGAAGAATCCTAGAGTTTTAAAAGCACAACTGGAGAAGCTAATTACTGTATAGTACACTCTCTGAAAACTGTGAATGTATGTAGCAACTCTCTACATGAAGGCAGTTGAATTCTTTTCATGAAAATAGTATTACTGGCTGAAGCACCCTTTATATGTGTAAGAGATGTAAATGATTCAAGAACTGTGTGCAGAAAATACCATTGTTACTAAAAGAGAAACAAATTGGTTTTCTAAATTTGTTATAATGGCGAGGGAAGGAGCTTTTGTCATTGCTCAGAAAAGTGCCTTGATTTGTGGAAAAATCTAGGTGTGTTGTAATATATTTTCCTTGATTTAGGAGCAGTGCTGTAACAGTTTGGACAATTAACCCTATTGCTGCATATATGATTTGTAAAAATCAGATATGAAAATTATGGAAGTGTACACATTTTACTGAATTGTGTAAGTGAGGACATTTTACAGAATTGTGTGATTAAGAAACTTGGCAGTGTTCAGGTTGGAAAGTGCTACTGTTGTTTGGGGTTTCTTTTTGTTGTTGTTGAGCCATAAATAAAAGGGGGAATGTAAATACAAAGTGCTTACTCATGGCACAGTGCACTGAGGGAGAGCCATTGCATAGAAGAAACATGTGCAATTAATCTGCCATGAAATGCCTGAGTAAGGCACATACCTGTTTCCACCCAAGAACATCTGTAGATGTCTAAAGCTAATGTAAAAGTGACCAAATTGTAAACAAAATTTTGTAAATAGTTTTTTTTTTCTATTTTGTGGATGTGAAGTATTCACATTAAAATGTTTTATGATACAGTTCCTGTATTAGTTGCCTAAACTGATTCTTGCTGGTTTCAGGCTTTAATAATGTTTTAACTTCTGGGTCCATCTATATATCTGTTAGATAGTTTTAACACATATTTATTGCTGTTATTTATTTTAAGAAGTTCATACTCACTATAATCTGAATTTACAAACCAAGATCTGCCTTCTGAAGTTTATGCTATAAACAATAACATGGGGTTGAAAATAATAAATTGAAATATAGTTGAAGCAAATTTAATTAACTTTTAGAGATTTAAATAGTTTTTACGTTTTTGTTAGGAATAGTGACACCTCTCCTTCCAAAGAAAGTATTATTCAAAAATTTTATAACATAATCTCCAGATCACTTTTTTCCTTCCAGCAAAGATTTTCAGTTATTTTAGATCCTGAAATATTTTATGTGAGGAAAACAGCTATGATGTTATAGACAATTTAGGAATACAGTAACAGGAATAAAGAGCTGTTGATCAAGTAGGAAAATAGCAGAGATCAGTACAAAGCCATGGTGTGTAGCATGGGGCTTTACATATGTGGTTCCTATCAAGCATGATATTCAACCGTGACTAACTCTGATGGGAATATCTTAAGGACCACAATTGGCTATGCCTGCTAAAAAGGATACTCTTTATTGATAACTGTACACCTTTACTATTAGTCCTTTGTTTCATACAAAGTGATGGTATCCCTAGGATGAAGAAAGGAATCATGCAAGCAGTCCATTAATTAGCATTAAAAGTCAAGTTCGGTTTCGTTGCATATCTAGTTGTATACATTCCTATCACAGTATCTGGACGCTGACTGCAGCCAAAGAATACACTGTTGGAAACTATAAAAAAGACTACTGACTCTAGAAGAGAGCGAGACACTTCCTAGTGCTAAAGCTGGTGAAGATGCAGCTGCTTTCTGTCCTCTAGATTATCTTCTGAAAGAATGTCCTTAGCTAAAGTTTTTATGTTTTACATGATGGAGATTTTGAAACATAACTCATGCAAAGTAATAAATCCATCAAAGATACGGTGGTGCAGAAAAAAAACCTTTTAACGGAATAAGTGAAACCCGTGAAGCTTTATACTCTTTTCTCCCAATTCTTTGTAGGCTGCTGTCAACTCCCTAATCTAATGACAGTACAAAATAGGAAGTTTAGGCTGTAATAAAGGGAGGTCCATTGAACTTGGTGGGACTTTTTTCTGAGACTGTATGCAAGTATGCATTTGTTCTGTGAAAGTCTTCCAACCACAAGAAGCCATGATTTGTATATTTAAGTGGAGCAGTGACTGGGTTTGGTCATCCGTTCTTTTTTTTAATTGACAGTATACAGTATTTCAAAACACAGATCCATTTCATTTATTCCTGGGACTTTTTAGGCTGCTTTGCTGTCCTGAACGATATGAAGATTACTGGTAGGTACCAGTGTAAAAGATTATTTTAGTGTAATTCAGAGTATCTAGGCCATTGACCAGCTGTTGTCTTCTATTTATGTGCTCCTCTGCCCTCTACAGCTCCATTTCAGCAGAAATAGGTTTCTCTCTTTCAGTATTGCTTTACTGCTAAAGCAATACACAATACTTGTTTCCAGCAAAGACAGCTCAACCAGTCTCCATAAGTGCAGGGGGCCAAAAGGGCAGAGATGGGGGAAAGATGGGTGGGGGGAGTTGAAGCACCCCTGCGGTTGTAAGTGCAGGTGGGCTGCCAAGCACCCAAATTTTGATCATGTGACTCCAGGGATGTTACAACAGCTGTAACTTCCAGGACTGGGCATAAGTACCATTTGTTTAGTGCCGCTGTAACTTCGAATGGTCGCTGAACAAATGGTTGTAACTCAAGGACTACTTGTAATTTGTCATTTAAGCATTACACTGTTTTGTTTGTAATGCGGTAATCTTTCAGATTCCTTTAATAATTATGACTGGTTCAAGCCAGTCTGGATAACATCAGTACCAAAAATCAACCTGTGTCTAAGCTGGTTTTGATTTCTTCAGGAACGGAAATTGCTTGGCTAAGAGTAAAGGATGTGAAGAACATAATGTAATCATTTCCTTTGGTGATGCAATTCCAATTGCAGGGCCTTTTGAATTACATGACATTTGTAGAACAGCAGATGAAGATCTGTTCTTGAGAATAACCATAAAAGATTTTGAGAGAGTTTTAGAATATTCTAAAAATATGCATTGTGGTAGCCCTTTCCTGTACTTTGTTCTGGAACCTTTTCTCATTGGCCCAAGCAACTAAGATACGTGTTGGTATTAAAAACAATTTTTAGAAGTTAACTGAAAATGGGAGTGAGGAATAGCTGCAACAACAAAGGAAGGGCAGACTATAACGACAGTAAAAATGGAAGAGGCAAGGCAAAACAGATTTCCCAAGAATGTTACTTTAAAAGCCACAGATCGGCAGCTAAATTATTGCTCCAGATACACCCCTAAAAGGCATTTTAACCAAACTAATTCAACATCTGAGCATTCTCTACCTGCCACATTGTGTGATGAGAACCAAGCTCATACATTTTCTGCACAAGTCTCCAGCATTTTGCACTTAAGCAAACTTACAAGATTCCCCATGGATTTAATGGGAACAGAGATCTTTTGAAAAAGGTCCTGCTGAATTAGCTATGCAAGCACTTGTGGTCCTAGTTTTCTCAATATGGGATAAATAACCATGCCTCTCTGCTGGAAGCAAGTGGAATAGCACTTCCTCAGCTAGGATGTCATGTGAAAAGCAAGGCAGCTGGCATCATTCTTTTCAAAAAACTAGGGCTGCTGTGAAGTGTTCTCAAGCTGTTTTAGGCTCATTTCACTGACACCAGAGAATGCTCTTCTGGATGATGAAGCAGTTGCATCTGGAACAATTTTGGATCAGGGAGCACACTATTAGAAGTCTTTTGTTATAACAAAATGTAAATAGCATTAGCAGTCCCATGAAAATACCCAGGTACTTGCTTAGGCTGACCAGATATATCAGCTATTGCCTTCTCCCCTAAGAGTCATGTAGAAAAGGGTATTTAAGAGAAAACATTAAGCTGTTCAAGCATTTGCCTACATGACAGATAATTTGCATAGCTAATAAGTGCCCTATGTGCTAAATGAGGGCTTGGTAAGGCTGCATGCAAATACTAGGATTGTGATCACTTCCAAAAACCGTGCCTCTGTTCCGCCCTCAAAATTAATTTTTAAAAGATGCCAAGATGCCTCATGAATTTAGCAGGCTCACATGAGATCTTGCAAAAGGTAGGGATGAGCTCACTAAATCTTTGCTTAATGGGGTAATCTAATGCCCAATTTAGGCAGGCACCCCAGACTGAACAAGTTGCTGAGTGCGATTCTAGACCGTTATGAAAACAATGGCATGACAGCTGGCTGGGGAATTCTGGGAGTTGAAGTCCACACATCTTAAGAGTCGCTAAGGTTGAGAAACACTGCTCTATGCCATGTTAGTTTGTTCCAGTCAACCTTACTTAAAAGTTTTCTGATGACAATTAGGTCCACCTTGATTGTAGAAAAAAGAAGTTACTTTTTTCCCACATTAAAAAAGGTCAAATTGTCTTGGAGTTGAGGTTGACATCTGGTGAGTTCCCAGAAGATCTGTGCCATTTTCTTGGCAGCGGAACAGAAGTGGTTTGCTGTTGCTTTTTTCCAGAATCTTTTTAACTTCCAGGGTTGCCCGCAGCCCTGAGATATCCTAGTGATCTCCCATCAAGACTTTAATGCTATAGACGCCCTCCCCAATAGCTTTTTTAGATCAGCTGGAAGTAGCCACCTGCTTATCAATATTTACTTTCTAATCCCTTACTTTGGAAGTGTTACATTTATGATCACTTTATCAGATTAAAGTGAAATCTAGTTCACTCGATCAGCTGAGATGTTAGCTATCAAACCATCAGGATATCACTTGCCATAATTGTCTGCATCAAGGATCATCCAGTTAGAAAACAGCACGCAAACAATTTTACAAGTGTTAATCAGAGGGTGGAAGGCATTAACATAATTTATGGCAGTGGGTGGGGGTGGATAGGAATGCTTACAGAAGCTCAGACGTGTCTTAGGAGTCTCTTGTCTGAGTTTTAATTGAAAGACTTCTGTCCTTTTGCAAAGCTGAAATGGAGCCTCTCTTTTCTACAGCAAGCTATCTTTACCCAACAAGTGGGAAAATTTCCTCGCAACACAGTTTCCCTTCGTTGTCAATCCGATAGACCAAAGTTCTCCCACCTTCTTTTTTCATCACTAGATGGCCAAATATTAATTATTACCGCAGTGGGATAAATTGCAACATAGAAACTTAGGCTGCAGCCCAGAAGTATATTTCACCAAGAAGGATCAGCAACTGTTTCTCCTTAGCTGAAATATAATCAATTCTGTCTCAAATTCTTAATTCTTTTAATTTCTCTTGCTTTAAGAAAGGATGAGAAAGAAGTTTTTTTTTTTTAAGGGCAGATATAGTAAACACAAAAGAGGGGATACTGAAAATATATTTTTTAAAAAGACTACATTTCAGAAAGAATGTATAATATTAAACTAAAAGTGCAAAAATCAAAATCAATGAAGACAATTATAAATGAAAAAGGCTGTATTATAGATGTGTAGATACATGTTTCAGTGTTCAGTACCTGGTTTGGCAAAAGGCATTTCTTCAGGCTCCGAACAAGGAACAAGGAGTCAGAGAATGTGGGGATTTGCTTAAGTGTCAGAAGGACTTGGCAGGCATAACTAATGCAAATACCTTTTTATCTTGTTTAAAGGGGGCTAAGAGGATTTTGGGACAATCTTAAGTTGGAGAGGTCATCCTTTTTATTTATTAAAAAATAGTATTTATTCATGGTTTGCTCAGGGTCCAACACTGAGTCAAATTGGGGATGCAACTTAGGGCAGCGTAAAGTACCTAACAAACATAAGCCTAGAATTTCTGCAAAATCATAGAGTCCCCCCCCCCGCCTTTCTAATTTCAGTTGCTATTTGCTGCCCTCCAAACCTTTGGTTTCTGCACT